CACACTGGGCTCATGCGGCCAGCAGGCAGCGTGGGTCTCAACGGCTGGGCTAACGCGACAGGCTCCTGCAGCAGGCATGCAACCTACCCTGGCTCTGTCCACCGGCCCCCTTCAGGCACTGGCGGTGTGATGCGCCACAGCAACTACCGGACACCGGGCTTAACTACCACAAGTCACGAAGCCGAGAGCGCTTTCCCCAAGGTTATATCTAGCTAGTACTACCGCGCTTGGACTGCTTGCGCAGGCAGATGTGGCCGACAGTTTTTGGATATCGCGCATCGCCTGTTTATGTGGCCGTTCGGGCCGGCAGTTTCGTGGACCTCGCGCATCGACTGCTTGTGAGGCCGTATGGGCCGGCAGTTTTCGTGGAATTGCGCATCGCCTGTTTATGTGGCCGTTCGGGCCGGCAGTTTCGTGGACCTCGCGCATCAACTGCTTGTGAGGCCATATGGGCCGGCAGTTTCGTGGACCTCGCGCATCAACTGCTTATGAGGCCGTTTGGGCCAGGCAGTTTTCGTGGAATTGCGCATCGCCTGTTATGTGGCCGTTTGGGCCAGGCAGTTTTCGTGGAATGCGCATCGCCTGTTATGTGGCCGTTTGGGCCAGGCAGTTTTCGTGGAATTGCGCATCGCCTGTTATGTGGCCGTTTGGGCCAGGCAGTTTTCGTGGAATGCGCATCGCCTGTTATGTGGCGAGCCAGGCAGTTTTCGTGGAATTGCGCATCGCCTGTTATGTGGCCGTTTGGGCCAGGCAGTTTTCGTGGAATTGCGCATCGCCTGTTATGTGGCCGTTTGGGCCAGGCAGTTTTTCGTGGAATGCGCATCGCCTGTTATGTGGCCGTTTGGGCCAGGCAGTTTTCGTGGAATTGCGCATCGCCTGTTATGTGGCCGTTTGGGCCAGGCAGTTTTCGTGGAATTGCGCATCGCCTGTTATGTGGCCGTTTGGGCCAGGCAGTTTTCGTGGAATTGCGCATCGCCTGTTATGTGGCCGTTTGGGCCAGGCAGTTTTCGTGGAATTGCGCATCGCCTGTTATGTGGCCGTTTGGGCCAGGCAGTTTTCGTGGAATTGCGCATCGCCTGTGTATGTGGCCGTTTGGGCCAGGCAGTTTTGGGACTTCGCGCATCGCCTGTTTATGTGGCCGGTTGGGCCAGGCAGTTTTGGGACTTCGCGCATAGACGGCTCATGCTGCCGCATGGGCCGGGCAGTTTTTTGGACCTCGCGCATAGACTGCTTAGGCGGCCGCATGGGCCGGGCAGTTTTTTGGATCTCGCGCATCAATTGCTTAAGGTTACTAACGGTTCCGATATTTTTCTCCCCTGCTTGGAGCCGGTAAAGACCGACAGCCGACAGCTATAGGCTGGAGG